CCATTGCCGAAGTCGTGGCAGGCGCAGTATTCTGTGCATCTGACTGTGTGTTTGCGTGGCAGGAGCAGCATTTGGCAGCTGTCTAAAGGGCTGGGATGTTGTCGCGCGCGCGGCTCGGGGCTTGCGAAATCGTGGCAGGCGCAGCACTTTGGAGATGCCATTGCCGAAGTCGTGGCAGGCGCAGCATTCTGTGCATCTGAGTGTGTGTTTGCGTGGCAGGAGCAGCATTTGGCAGCTGTCTAAAGGGCTGGGATGTTGTCGTGCGCGCGGCTCGGGGCTCGCGAAATCGTGCCAGGCGCAGCACTTTGGAGATGCCATTGCCGAGCGCGGCTCGGGGCTCGCGAAATCGTGGCAGGCGCAGCACTTTGGAGATGCCATTGCCGAAGTCGTGGCAGGCGCAGCATTCTGTGCATCTGAGTGTGTTGCTGCGGCTGCCACGATTTCGCGAGCCCCGAGCCGCGCGCGCGACAACATCCCAGCCCTTTAGACAGCTGCCAAATGCTGCCCCTGCCACGCAAACACACACTCAGATGCACAGAATGCTGCGGCTGCCACGACTTCGGCAACGGCGTCTCCAAAGTGCTGCGCCTGCCACGATTTCGCGAGCCCCGAGCCGCGCGCGCGACAACACCCCAGCCCTCTAAACAGCTCCCAAATGCTGCCCCTGTGAGTGAGTGAGTGAGTGAGTGAGTGAGTGAGTGAGTGAGTGAGTGAGTGTGAGTGAGTGTGAGTGAGTGAGTGTGTGTGTGAGTGAGTGTGTGTGAGTGAGAGTGTGTGAGTGAGTGTGTGTGAGTGAGTGTGTGAGTGAGTGTGTGTGAGTGAGTGAGTCTGTGTGACTGAGTGTGCGTGAGTCAGTGTGTGTGAGTGAGTGTGTGTGAGTGAGTGACTTTGTGCGAGTGGGTGAGTGAGTGAGTGAGTGAGTGAGTGTGAGTGAGTGTGAGTGAGTGAGTGTGTGCGAGTGAGTGTGTGTGTGTGAGTGAGTGTGTGTGAGTGAGTGTGAGACAGTGAGTGTGAGTGAGTGGGCGGCGGGGGCGGCGGGGCGGGCGGCGGACGGCGGGGCCGGACGGCGGACGGCGGGCGGCGGGCGCGGAGCGGTAAAAGTAAGAACCCCACACAAAGATGTGGGGAACAACAGCAACAACAACAGCAACAGCAACAGCAACAGCAACAGCAACAGCAGCAACAGCAACAACACCAAGAACACCAGCATCACCAACATCACCAACAACACCAGCACCAACAGCACCAACATCACCAACAACACCAACAACACCAACAGCGCCAACAACACCCACACCAACACCAACACCAGCATCACCAGCACCACCGACAACGACAGCAACAGCAACAGCAATAGCAGCAACAACCACAACAACAACAACCACAAGCAACAATTTCCAAAATCAATACCACCACACAACCACCAACAACACCCACAACACCGCCAACTACCAACAACACCAACAACACCGACAACACCGACAACACCAACAACCCCAACAACACCAACAACACCGACAACACCAACAACACCAACAACACCAACAACACCAACAACACCAACAACACCAACACCACCACCAACAACACCACCAACAACAGCAACAACAACAACACCACCAGCAACACCAACACCAACACCAACACCAACACCAGCACCAGCACCAACACCAACACCAACACAACCAACACAACCAACACAACCAAAATAACCAACACCACCAACACCACCAACACCACCAACAACACCAACAACGCCAACAACACCAACAACACCAACAACAGCAACAACACCAACACCACCACCAACACCACCAC